CCAAATAATTGATTGATGGGGAAAAATTACAACAATCAATAATTAAGAACACCATTACCTGCAGTGCTTGGTGGTCCTTCCTCCATCCTCTGCTTCTCTGTCACCACTTTGGTCCTGTCCGCATTCAGAATAGCTGGTTTCGTCCATTCGCTGCCAATTCTGTCAGAGCTTGCGCGGCAGTCGGTGGTGAGCTGTTCACGGTACCGAGTACACGCCAGCACCGTGCGGACAGAGCCCCTGCTAGTCTAAATGCACAGCCCTCACTCGGAACCTGGGCTCTCAATGAAAACCAAGTGGTTAGGTTTGTTGACCCAGAACGGCAGGAACACCGTCTGGCCACAGGGGCTGCTCCTGAATTTTTAAATAGACTTTTTCCAGGGTTCTGAGCAGCAAAACCAAAAACCTGGACCACATGGTCATCTTGGCAAGACAGGACCACAGATAAGTAAGGAAGTGTGTGGGTTTTTTTCGTGAACCACCTTTTAAAAACATAACATAACACTCACGGGCCACTTTATTAGGTACACCTGTACAGTTGTACGCACTTCAATGCAACACACTTGGTCACATCTGTGTTTATGAAGCGCAACATGTTTCAGCTTTTGGTGAAATTGTCATAAATGTATAAATCATATGTTTATTACTGAGGCCACAGTTAAAGGCGGTGTTGTACTGGACTACATTATATTCAGAGGTGTCTGTATTTTTGTTCTCTCAGCTATCGACATGGGGGGGTCAGAATATTAGGAACACCTCACAGCAGCTGCCTGGAACGTGTTCAGGTCCAGGTCCATGGACTCGGACCAAGCTGCGGAGCACAGAGGAGCGAACACTCGGAGCTGACGTGGTGGTTTTGTCTGGTCCAGGTCAGAACCAGGAGCGTGTCCGCAGCGGAGCGGAGACGCGAGCAGCAGCCGCGCACCTGGACATGAGGCTCCGGGCCGCAGTGGAGCGCGACCATGTCACCAGAGGACCGGCAGCTGAGGACCGGCTTGAAACCCACCCGGTCTGGTGCTTCTTGCTTCTGTTGATGTGGACGTTTGCTGCCTTTATCACTCTGGAGCAGACTGGAGGGTTTTGTTCAGCTCTGTTTGGATGGTCCACTGTGATACCCTGTACCCAGCACTGTGAAAAACCGTCGTACAAAAACCCCACACAGCTGCAGGAGGCGGCAGCAGCTTTTCAGGTCAGGTTATGTAAAGAATAACAACGTTTCTCATAATAAAACATGCCAGTTCATTTTGTAACATTAAGACCAGTTATCCATGTTTCATTAACAGAACAAATATCTCAGTAAGATCCGCGGAGTGAGCCCGTGTCTAACACCGGATCGGTTTCTGATCCAACTGGGACTCGGTCAGAGTTCAACGTGGCGCTGCACTGGACTGCATTAGCACATGTGTTCCTAATATTCTGACCCCACCGTGTCAGAATATTAGGGACACCTCACAGCCGCTGCCTGAGACGTGTTCAGGTCCAGGTCCACGGACTCAGATCCAGCTGCAGAGCAGCAAACACTGGTGTGATGGTTTTGTCTGGTCCATGTCTGTGGAACAGGGGACGAGGCTCAGCAACGCGCTGACACCTGAGGACTCACCTTAAACGCCCAGAGCTGTCCAAGGACTAAATTCATAAAGTTTTGTGTGCATTTGCTGAGGGACTTGAAACACTAACGCTGGACTCTGTTGTTCTCTCTTAAGCCCACATCCCAGGCCTCAACGCTCAGATGTTGTCTTGTTGTGTCGCTGCTTCCCGTCCGTGTGGCAGTGCCATGTACTCCGGTGTGAACACCGCTCAGCTCCTAAACCGCCACACAATAATAACAACCAGGTGGTGTGTGCGACGGTCAAATGGCCCAGTTTCTTCCCAAACGGCTGGGTTACGATATGTTCCTTCCAGTTTGGCCTGATCAGAAGCTTCTCCATAAATGTCCACCACATGTGAAACGTCTCTCCACTGACCCCGTCGCTGTCGTCGCTCTCTTCCATGTTTTCCGTTACCGGCCTCTGAGGAGATGTTAAAACGACCACATGGATTCTGATCTGACCATACGGATGGCGCTGAACAGTCAGAGATCGGAGAGGAATCGGGTCTAGGAGCACATACGCAGGTGGCTCAGATCTGGTCTGAGGACACCTGGTCTGTTTACACTGCTGTGGACACACCAGGTCTGGGATGTGGACAGAGCTATACAGGGGTATTTGGACTTGGAATAAGGTCTGGTGACCTTCCCCAGAGGCCGGGAGCCTTAAAACTGACTGTGCCTTTCTCTGCGAGGAGCATTCAGGCCTGGAATAGGTTTTTGTCGAGGTGTCACACTGACTTCATTCACTGTGGTACGTAGACACGGTGAAAAACAGCCGTACAAAAACTGTTGAACTGCTTCTCTATGGCAGACACTGAGCAGCAGCTGAATGTGGCTCGAGGTTTTTCCCTATCAACCCTTGTGGCTTCTTTGAAGACAGTGGGGGTCTTATCTGATGGGATCCAACAACAGTTGTAAAAACACGACTATCACAGTGCTGCTGTGTCTGAACAGAGACTCGTTCAAAGCATCACTTTTTCATCAACAATCATAACTTACCCCAGTCTGGAATAATAGACATATTAGGATCAGGAACAAATCGTTGTTCAATAGAGACTGGATGGAGAAAGGCATTTGGTTGGTATTTTATCTTATTGACATAAATGGCTCCTTCTTATCATATGAAAGCTTTTGTGTCAAATATGGGAGAATTGATGATTGTAACACATTCATTACTATAATCAAAGCAATACCTACCTCTTTCTTGTGTTTGATTAAAGGGTATTTAAGTAACCCTACTCCAATCAGCCCATCTCTCCCGCAGCTTTTAATTGGAGGTTGTGCTTTCAATCTCAAATACCCAAACAAAAGGTTAAGAAATATTCTAAACAATATCTCGTGCCCTTCTTCTGAACACAGAAATTCTATCTTACAATTCTTTTCAAAGGAAACTGCTTGCTTGTTACGAACAAAATACTTGAATACTTGCATTTATTTCCCTATCACTCCTAAAGCCAAAGAGCTTTGTTTTAAAACCTTGCATGGTATGTATCCATCCAGTGCTTTGTTGAAACATCTGGCATTGACTCCACTAACTGTGTATTTGTGAGGAGATGAGAATTCAGAACATCTTTTTTTTCCCAATGTACATTTGTGAAGAACTTTTGGCATGAGGTTTCTGTATGGCTCCAATCAAAGATTCACCTCCTAAATGACTTCACCCAAAAAGACATTTATGGTGTCCTGATGGACAATGCCAACGCTGACTTTCTGATCAACATCATCATCATGTACATACACATTGAGAGCGGAGGTACCAGGGTCAAATTCGTCGTTTGTCCGACACACCTGGTCAATAAAGCAGATTCTGATCGGGAAATTTCATAAACACATATCTAAATACATGAAAATTGTACCTTGTTTCTGTATATTTCTCAATGAGTTTGTTTTTGTTAATGCCCTGTCTTATGAAAACCAAAAATGCTACTAAACATTAATTTAATTGAAGAGTATAACTTAATACCAAAGCCCTAGCTTTTGACATGACTTTTTATTTTTTTATTCTATCCTTGTTTTATTTATTTATATATTTTTCTTTTTTCTCTCCTCTCCTATCCTGTTCTTTGTTAATGCACCTGTTCCCTAATATGTTATGGAATACTAATGTTTGTTTGCCATATTCGTTGTAAATACATTTGTTCAATAAAGAAGGAAAAAAAGAGCCTCATTCAAAGCTGATGTCTGAGATGTTCATGTGAACATACAGACCAAATCTGTAGGAGAACTGCTTAAGTTTAAAACCAGCATTTGTGTTAAAAGGCAAAAATGATTTATGAAGGATGCCAGAGGCGGTGTCCATCCCCTACCACCTCACTGAAATGGGGGAGGCTTAGCTCTGAGTCCTGGGTGAGACCAGGTGACGGAGACACAGCACCGGTGTCAGAGCCTCTGTCTCAGCTCTGCTACGTGAGCTGTGTTACCTCTGAACAAAGCCAGGCTGGCTGTGGCAAACCAATCTTCATGCTAAGCTAACAGCTTCATATCACCTGTACAGACAGGACAGGGGAGTTCGGGTTCTGTGTCTCCAAGACACTGCCATAGCTCTCTAATAGACCATCTCTTCAGCAGAAAGTTGAACCAACGACAAGATGTTGATTTTTGTTTTAGACTTTGATCGGCCACTAAAGCCTGACTGGTCAGCTGTCACTGCTTTCTGATTGCTCTTAACCCTATAAAACCCATTTGTATCATATTTGATACATGAGGTTCCCGAGCAAAAAAAAAAAAAAAAAAAAACCAAAAAAACCCCAAGTATCAAACGTCATAACAAAATAGAAATAATCTAAATAATATGGCGCCTCTATTCCTATATGCCTGGACTGTCTATGAGGATATGGCAAATAAAAATCGTGAATCTTGAATTTTGAACCATGAATTATATTTTGGATTTTGTTAAAACGTTTAATAAACATCTCAGTTCCAAAAAATTAGGATATTCTGGCTATTTTTTGATAACCAGGACGGATGGTGTATAAACACTCTACAAGGGTTAAGCCACAGAAATAACCCCCTGAACTCTCACGGCCGTTTCCCCAACAGGAGCTTTTCCAGGATCCGTCCCAACCAGGAACTTCACATTTGGTTCCTGGAAGTGCAAACTGTCCGAGGATTCGTCAGGATGGAAAAAGTGAAAACTACCAGCACTTTGTTACGCTCTCCACCTCTGCCTGTCTCTTCACACGACCCATGAACAGAAATCATCTGCTCCTACTCTGACAATTTTCAAGCAAGAACACCAATGTCTCTGCAGCAGCCACATCTCATGTCAGAGCCGTGTCTGCTTTCCTTTGTCTTGTGTGACGACTGACTGAACAGGAGTCTGATGAAGTCGTCTGAGGCCTGAGGAAGTTTCACCACCACAGTAAACTACACCAAAGCTACAAAGAACTAGAACAACTGGTTGATTGATCCAAACAATCTTTTTATTTTGATCATCCATGAATTGCTTCAGTTTTCCAAACATTCAATGGCTCCTGCTTAAGGAATTTTTAAAATTATTTTTTGACATTCTACAGACAAAACGATCAGAGCTGCAAGTTGATTATCTACTTGTCAAGTGATATAAAATCAGATCACTGATGCCGTTAACAGATTCACAGGCTGCGGGTTTTCACGGCTCTGCCGTGACAGTACACTCAGCATCTCCGGGTTGTGAACCACTGGTCAAACAAAAACATTGTGAAGACGTCACTTTTCTGATACTTTACAGAGGTAACTGCTGTTTAATGAATAGCAGGAACATTAATGGCTAATCAAAAAAATCACATCACATGGACTGTGTTGATGTTGTGCCTCATCTTTGCTTCACTTGGCTCCAGTGGCTCTGTAGGTCCCGGGACCGTTCGTTGAAAAGGGCTAAATAAAAGCAGCAGGGCCTGCGGACACGGTGTACAGGGTGGAGCTGCAGTGCAGTAGTGGCTACTGAAGACCAGTCAGTGGAACCCATGTACCTGTGTGTCTGTGCCTCAAGCTCACCTTTATAGCAGGCAGAATTAAGAGGACGGCGAGCAGGGGCAGCCGCTTAAAGCCAAGAAGGCATAACATGAACAGAAACAAACAGTAAATGCAGGTTAAGTCAGCAAGCAGGGTTCCATCTTTTGTTTTTCTTCATGAATTAAAGAAAGAAGAGGAAGAGAACCCCAAAATATTCAAGCAGGAAGCTAATACACATAGGCGTTCGCCTCAGATGGCGAGAAGCTAAAACGGCTACAAACAAACCACAAAATACAGGTTTTGTTAATATCTCTTGAAGCTAACAATCATACTACCCCTACGTTTGACAGGATGTTCGGCTCTTAGCCCCCTCCCACCCACTCCATCCCTTCCTGTGATGTTTACTGGCATCACATGGTCATCTTAGCATCAGGTCGCCAGGCTCCGCCTTCAAAAGGTCGGACGACAGCGAGCGTCAGTCCAGGTGATGTTGCACACCTGCCTTCACAAAGCACATCCAGTCCTGATCCTCACAGCACGGCTAAGAGACACGGTGAGTTTAAAGTCCAACTATGGCAATATATATTTATATATTTATATAGCTGCAAGCCAAACGTCGTCCTTCCTTCATTCAACCAATCAGCTACAGACAGCCTTCCTCTTCCTCCTCCTCCTCCTCAGTAATGAAAATAAATGGAGAGATCAGAAAGTCCAGTCTGTTATTTAGACCCCCGGTGCTTCACCTGACTTACCCCGAACCTGACCACCACACCGTCCTCGCTCTCCCAACAGCCCCACTTCAGTCTGCGGTGGTGGAGACGCTAAAAACAGGCGCTCCGACAGCACCGAGCAGACGTCCAGGGTGGAGGGTGCTTTACCTATTTTTTTATCTTCCAGATGAGAGGTGGAGATGTGGCATCAGTCCAAGCATGGGGGGCAGTGGTGGTGGGGGGGGGGGACTGTTCCTCAGTGTTCAGATGTCCGCTGGTTAAAGAAACCCAGCAGTGGTGTGGCGTGTGTCACCACAGCTTGAAGAGATCCCGCGCCCTCTGATCCATGAGGATCTGCACCGCTCCTCGACAGCCGAGGGGGTGGGGGTGGTGCTTCAGCCTCGTCGGAGGGGGGTCGCGTCGCCTCCCCAGCCTCCACCGTTTCTCGCCGGTGTAATTTTCCATTTTAGTTGGAGCTGGTTTTCGTCAAACTTCTGTTTTTTTCCTCCCATTTCTCCTGGTGGTGGTTGTTCTGACGTCCGGACACAAAGCGCCGCCTCAGGTTGCCGTTCAGTGAGGCGGGTTCATGGTGCCATGACCTCGCTGCTGCTTCTGCTTCTGCTGCAGGAGGAGCTGCTCCAGTGCAGACGGGCCGGGCTGCATCATGGAGCTCGACCAGATGGACTGCAGGGGAGAGCAGCGCGTTAGTGCTTAGCTCAACACACACTTCAACAGGAACTTCATCAAAAAAACATTACTTTCCACAGTTTGACTATTTCTGCCAGTTTTATATTTAAGTGTATAAATGACCTCAGCACCAAGTTACAACCTTTCAGTCAACCCAAAACTAACAGCAAAGGAGCAGAGAGGCAGCCTTCGACAGCGCAGCACTGCTGTCCCTCTGTTACATGACATTTAACATCACGGGTAGAACTTGGAGCTCTGTGGACCTTGAAGCTGTCGAGCAGCACGGTGGACGACGACTCCTCCATTGGAGACTCCTGATTGGTCCAGGAGCAGCCGGTCGGTCCGCTCTGGTGCCAGCTGGTGTCAGACGCTGCAGAGGAGGCAGCTGCTGGCAGGTAGTCCAGACCGAACCCGCTCACCACTCCTACAAAAACAATACACCTCAACATGTGGAAACAAAGCTCACCGGAACATCACGTTGGACAGGTTTGGAAAAGTAAAAGAGGCTTTTCCTCAGCTGTGACTGCGAGTGTTAACTATGTGTGTAATTTCAGAAAACAAAAGTAATGTTGCTCCTTCACTTTTGTTTCTACTCAGTCTGTTAAGATGTATCTGAGATGTCCATGTGACCCGCATCCCCTCACCAGGCTTGTCAGCCTTCCACCGGTCCACCACCCTGCGGTCCCGGCTGTCCGGAGTACCAATGGGCCCGAAGTTGGAGAAGGGCATGGCTCCATGGCTGTGTGTAGGGGGGGAGGACGGCAGGCTGCTGGGGTTGGAGGAGTGAGGGGACTGGCTGGCTGGGGTGGAGTGGTCTGCCAATCAGAACACAGCTTACATCAGAGACATGTAAAAGTGATGATAATTAGTATTTGTCTGTACAGGTGTGACGTACCCGAGCTGGCAGGGAGGGAGGGGGACCAAGGAGTCCCTTCGAAAAGGGAGTAGAGGGAGGGCTCCTGGTGCAGAATGGGAGTGTCGGGCTTGGAGCTGGGCGCCAGGTTCCTGCCGTAGGCCTGACTGAAGATGCTGTTCTGGTTGTACTCCTGGACACAAACAAATACTCAGAGCTTTACTCGAGTTCAAACTGTGGACTGTAAGAGCCACAAACACAGCTTCAAACTAATGAGTTCATATTATCTATACCAAGTCATCTTTGCTACTCTGATGTTTTTGGGATCATTAAAAGAAGAATCTGACATGAAGATGTGAAGCGTCTAGTTCATGTTTTAAAAAGTAGAAAACAAATATTCTGCCACCTGCTGGATCAGTAACATGACAGCAGTCTGCAAGTGACTGGTGAGTAGGTGAGGCTGGTGGTACATAAAACAAACTCATGATTCCAAATCAACCTCTGTATCCTTTTTGAGACCAGCTGCAAACAAATATCCTGCACTGTCGCTCTGTGAGGAGCCAGAACCAGAATGGATTTGTGACTTTTGAGAAAACAAGCTTCAGTGTTTGGTGCCGTGTGAGAGGCAAAAATCTCATGCAGATGTGACTGTTTGTCAAAGTAACATTCTGGGAGCTTCTCGGAGGCGTGGGCTGACCTGCATGGGGAAGCCAGATATGGGCAGGAGAGAAGACGACGGGCTGACAACCTCGGGGCCGCTCTCCATTCTGGTCTGGTTGGGCAGCTACAGAGATGAAGGACAGACAGGGTGAGGATGGACAGAGAGCTGGGGTGTGATATCACACGTCCAACAAGGACTTG